GTAAATTGTAAACACCCTGTAAATTGTCAACGTTGGGGGAATATATTGCCTGTGAATTCCGTTCACATCGAGAAATATATTCCCTGGAGACATTAAACATTGGAAAGTTTATTCCATGTAAATCCCGTACACTGATGCTGTACAAAACATGCTTTTATTTTTATAGGTGTACGTGGCAAACGTGTCCGTTTTAACGTCCCACGCACACCTACTACAGACCATAACGCCTTGCTCCTTCCTTTCGCCTAGCACTATGTTAACAACGATCTTGTACCTGCCGAAATTCAACCTCTTTACCTGATCTTTGATGTCGTCGCTAAGGAGAGTCGACAAAGTTTGACAAAACTTAGAGTTGTATTGGAAGCCATCTAAATGATTATTCAGAACGTCCTTGATGATTCTGTGGGCTTCCGACGATACAAAGCGGATAGTCGGCGACATTCGGTATGTTGGTTGAAGAGGGACTTCCGGTGGATGGAAATTAGCTACACTATTTCTTGAAACCAGGGGCTTTTTCCCAAATTTCTTTGATGTCAACAATCCAGCGATACCCACGGCCATACTGCTGGTTCGTCTGCCAGGGCTAGTCACTGGCGGGAAAACACTGCGACGTCTGCTACTAATGGGCGACACAGAATCATCCGAAGACGAGGGTTGCTGATCGGCTTTGCTATCCGCTGCAATCATCATCGACGACTTCCTCATATCGCCTTATAGTAAACTTTTCGGCTTAGAAAAAATGTTTCTTAGTAACGATCACAAAATACCAACACCAATTGTAACTATTCCTTAGTTCTTGTTGATGTTGGAGAGCAGTTTGTTGATATACCCTTTGGCGAACATGAGGTATGCTACTGTTTCCATCCACTGCCGTATTGGGACTATGTATTTAGCTGACCAAAACGTCAGACCTATGAATATGACCCTCTGACCCCAGTTACACCAATGCAATTTTTAGAATTAATGTTCATGTAATGGTTTAATCGTTGAGATTAACCCTTCCACAGTGGGTTCAAGTACACAAATAATTATGTTATTTAATGCAGATTATGCAAACCGCCATGGACAAAACCCCAGTGTTCGCTACCTCATACTAAACTTACGCTGTCTGTCTGCACCTAGCCCCGTCTGAAAACAGACACTAAGCTAGTTGACCGACATTTTAAGTCCTAAATTGACGATTTTAGTTGAAAACACTCAGTATATAAGTATACTTCTAGAATTGTGTTAAGTATTTAAAGGGACAATAACACTCCTGCTGGCTTGACAGCTCCAGAAAATAAAAAAATAGCCTTTTCTAAGTAGTAGATGTGTTAGTGTCCTACCTGTTGTGTAAATTATCCATTAAATCCTATTTTACTCGTCCAGAGGGTTCAAAAATCCAAGTCACATTTGAAAAGCTTTACGTCAGGCTTTTCAAATCATTTAGTTGAATTTTTCCAATTTTTTTGAATTAGGTGTGTTAAGATGAAATTTATATCATCAATTAATTGGAATATTGTAAAATAGTACAATTTGTTGACCAGAATAAAGATTGGGTTATTGAGCCTTTAAAGAGGTGCCTTAAAGGGGATATTTTCGGGTGGGGTTGGGGTTCCAACAATTTTTCCTAAACTGCTGTGTGGTTATTCACACACTAAATGTCGTATTGAGATGCTCAGGTACTGCTTATTCCGATTTGTTCAAATCAGTTTGGTTGGGTGGGAGGTTATGGCGGTCTCCCCGAAAAGAATTAGACCCCCGTAAACTCATTTTCCTGCAATTCCAAGTAAAGCAATAAGAAAGAAGTTCAATATAACCTTATATATGTGACTTTGGAACAAAAAAACCCACTCTGTGCCCACCTGCAATTCCGGCCTGTGAGTAAAGCAAAAGGAAAGTAGTCCAATATAGCCTTGTAAATGTGGCTTTGAAACCGGTATCACAAGTGCCAATCTGTATTCCAGATGTTGTGGGAGAGGAGGCAGAAAACTATTGCACGAAGTCCAAAAGGTCATGCGATTTCGGGCTCTTCATTTTCCTGAAAACATATATGGATTTCTCAATTTATTCTTCTGTCGAAATTTGTGTGTATGTGGGGGGGGGGGGGAGGTGTGCGCCTATAATTTTAATTAGAGAGAGTGAGAGTGAGAGAGAAAGAAATAGGGTTTAATGTCCACTCGATACAAACTAGGTCGTTTCGGGACTAACATAGGGTTCAGTTTTATGTCCATAATTTGTTTGAAATATAAATGAACAATGTGTTTGTCCCGAAATGATTTTGTTTATGTTGAGTGGACGTTCAACCCCATCAGAGAGAGATATGGGGTTTAACGTCTACTCGACACAAACTAGATCATTTCGGGACTAACACATAGTTCAATTTTATTTCAATAATTCGATTGCGCGTAGGGGTCTTTAGCAGTGGGAGGATACCGGAGGACGCAGAGAAAACCCACGAGGTTGGACACTCGACCCTATGCCTTGTCACGTAAAAACAAGGGAATCGAAACCCCGACTAAAATGGTAACCAGGACGATAAAAACATAATGTAACACAGATCGCCATCATGCTTTGTTTACCTTGACAACGGTTACCACGTATCTCTTATTTTATAACCATGTCAGCTTTATATACCTACGTTATATACTGGGAAATTAATTCATTGAATAGCGTGTATACGGATATCAAGTGCAGGCATTAAATATGTGAATCCGCACAAAAGGCTATTCATTTCGCGCTCAATTACACCCCCAGGTGAAAGATACACACATTGTCGTTTCCAAATCAAAATCAACAAGTCTAATTCTATAATCGCATTAATGTTATAACAAGCTCAAGGTTTATTATTAATGGTAGAAAAGGCGCGAATAATTACCATACACATATAATACATGTATATAGATCCCTTCAATATAGAATGTATTGTCCTATATCAATATCGTATATTTTATATATAGTATCATACGACCCTCGGACCAAATTACTCAAATATTTTTCATACGTATGCCCAACATTTTATATATACCAGCCCGATAATCTTTGAGCGGAAGGGAGCAGAAATGGAAGTGCCCGGAAAAATTTCCGTCGCGAAGGCAGGCGCTAGCGACCGCAAAAGGCGCAAAGCATGACGTCGCGGAAGGGGGCTCCCCCAGAAAATGTTGAAAATTAAATGGCTGTTAACGCGTTTCCAGCCCGTGAGTAAAGCAACAAGAAAGTAGTCCAATATAGCCTTATTTATCTAGCTTATCTTGGTGACCACCTGAATTCCAGATTTGAAGTGAGAGGGTGAAAGAAATGATTATGGCCTCTCCCCTTAAAAAATTCACTGATAAACAAATGATAATACCCGAATAAGACGTCGCTTTATAGAGTGGCGCTAGACATGGTTTATTACATTGATTTTAAATGTTTTATCCATCAGTCAATTTAAAGACATTTCGATTCCAGACAAAATTATGACACAAATAGTGATCGATTGCCGAAGACTGTCGAACAATGCAGAGTGGCTTCAGACCAAAAGTCAAGGGATTTTGGGTACTTTATTTTGCAGACTAGAAGGCAAAAGAGTTTTTTTCCCCCCCAAAAAAAACGTCTATTTTATTTTCACTTTGCACATCTTCCCCCAAAAAATTGACCCAGCTCCCACCAAGCTCGTACGTCTTTTTATTGATGTTTTTGTTTTTGTCGTTGATGGTTTTGTTTCTATGATTGTCATACAATCTGATTTAAACACTGATCCTATATTTCGTATCGTTTTTTATAGTTCAAAATTTCGTTTTACTTGTCTTTACTACACTAGGATCTTGAGGAGTTGTTATATAACATTCGTTCTGGGTGGCGTGGCGTGGGGGATTAGCCAATGAAACGGTCAGTCACGGCGAGTTCTTGGTGCGCGATGCACGGAACTGTGTGTAAACCACTAGAAACATCATCGCTGATTGATTAATCAATGTCTGACGTCATAGGGTCAAAAGCCGCTCGTACGACCCCTGACGCGACCTTCCAGTACAACTGGTCATGTAGTGTAGGCCATCAAAAGTATAAAAAAAAACGAAACGAAATATAGCTCTGTATTCTAATCAGATTGATTGCCATAGAATTAGTTGAGTTCCTTTTCTATTTGTATTATTGGGATGTTGGCCGAGTTGGGTGTTATAGAACATATGTAAAACGTTCTAAAATAGGAATTAATGAATGAAATGGGGGGAATAAACGCCCTACTCTTGCCCGGGCAGCGACCGAATTCCAACTATCAAGAGTTCTGTCTGTTACGTGCACGCTGTTCTGTGCTATATAGGCACCCCGTCCTGCACCAATGACAAGGGGAAACCACGCCTGAAAATCCCTGCAAACAAGTATGTCAAGTGTCATGCCGATCGTACTCGAGGAAGATCATTAACGCAAGTATATGGAAACAAAAATAACAGAGGAAATAAAATCAAATGGGGTTTAACGTTCTCTTTTTCTGCTCCGAATTCCAACTATCAAGGGTTGTCTTACGTGGACGCAAATGAGTACACCGGACCTCGGTGTTTCGTCACATCCGAACGACTATACGTTGCCCCTTCCCAGGTCCTCCCTCCCACACCCCTGACGAGGGGAAACCACGCCGGAAAATCCCGAACTTACTTGGCCAACACCGGGATCGAAAACGGGACCTCCAGGTTATCGAGTTAAAGTCTTACTCACTGATAACCTACACCGTGACTCCCGAACCAAAAATAACAAATGAAATGAAATGGGGTTTAACGTCCTACTGTTCTGCTCCGAACTGGCTTAAAGAAGACGGGCATACGCCATACAGTGTGCTATGAGGGGAATTGTGCCCATATCGAATTCCAACTGCCAAGGGATTTTTTACGTGCACGCCAATGTGTACACGGGACCTCGGGTTTTCGTCCCATCCGAACGACTAGATAGCTATCCCTGTCAGGCCCTCCGTCTTGCACCACTGACAAGGAGAAACCATGCCGGAAAATCCCGATTAAAACCAAAATAAGAGACCAACACGACAAACAGATGTTCAATGGTATATACTTTACACACAACGTAACAAAAAAAGCTGCAATAAATAATAGTTTCTTATATACTAGTTCCTTTAGGAACTGTCTTTGAGCGGACGATGTCCACTGACAGTTCCTATCCGACCTTATATAGCTGCAATATGAAAATACGGTAAAATACTGCCCCCCCCCCCCACCTCTGTTCTCAGCCTATTTTGGAATCCGTGCCTATTTTTTTTTTACCTTTTACCTTGATTCTACTTTATTCGCCAATGGGATAATTTCTTGCCACAGCTGACACACATTTATAATAATTGAACACTATTTTCAAGTAGAATTTTGCGATATACAACATACACAAAATACGTTTGAACTGATGAGCCATTGCGAGACGAGAACATGCGCAAACCGCATGTTTATTTCATCGATGAATTCTACTTGAAATTGGTGTTGAATAATTATAAATTTGTGTCAAATATAGTGAGAAATGATTCCTTTTGGGGGAAAATAAAGAATCGTGGCGAAAAATAGAAGGTTAGAGGAGTTCTAAAACAGCCAGAACAGAGGTGGGGAAGAGTGGTATTTTACCGTATTTTCATATTGCAGCTACATGTACATGTATATAAAGCCAGATAGGAACTTTCAGTGAACATCGTCCGCTCAAAGACAGTTCCAAAAGGAACTACTTATATACCTACTCCACTTCATGTTCATATAGCCACGATAATCCAAGACAAAAACATATTTTATATTGAAACGAAGTTCAACGAACTCGTACATCAGCATTCTATCACAGATATTATTATATACACCACTGCGTTGATCCAGGAACCAAGCATGGCGTCATTGCAAACATTTTGGAATTGGGTGATAAATTAAAAATCCGTCAATCGTTGCGCAATGGTCCAAGGTACAAGCATGCACAATTTCATGTCGATCCTTCTTGAAATGACGGAGGCTTGGGATTTTTTCGAAGAGCGTCGCATCTGAGAAGAAGATCAACAAGATTTGTAGCGCGTGGGTCCCAGTTCCTGTTCCAAAAATAGATCATTAAGGCCGACAACACAATAAAGAAAATCTTTGGAAGAGAAATATCACAATAAAAAAAAAACCCAATCCAAAACACATTTTGCTGTAAATGAGTCTTCAAGAATTAGACAGTAGTCTATTTCTATCAGAATTTATAAACACCAACATTAAAAAACAGGCGGTTAAGGCAGACGGTGTTAGGCTACACTTACACACTAAAGGAAATCTTCGGTCTTGTCCGCAGGTTTATCTTGTAGATTTTTGTTTTACGTGTAGTGCGGTCCTCCTGCACTTAATATTAGAAAAGAAATATCACAATCAACACGTACAGGCGTACAATGGGCCAAGAACCGGGCATGATGTCATCGCCACCATCTTAAAATTGTGACGTCATATCAAAGCGTAATTGTCCATGGATCTAAATTTGATGTCCATCGTATTTGAAGAACCTCGCCCACATGAACAACATTTAGATGAGTTCTTGGTGCAACATTAAGATTAGTTTCCGTTACAAACAATCTGCTTAAAATACAGATCTATATTTTGTTTCGCTTTTTTTTATACTTTTGGTGGCCTCTACTAGCCTACATGAAAATCTGACCGGTTGTAGTGGAAGGTCGCGTAAGGGGTCATACGAGCGGCTTTTGACCCTATGACGTCAGACATTTGATTAACCAAGCAGTGTTGGTGTTTCTATTGGGATACCAACCACACGTCAGGAACTCGCCGTAACAAACTGTTTTATTGGATAATTCCTCACGCGGGTTATATAACAACTCTTCTAGATCCTAGTGTAGTAAAGACATGTAAAGTGAAATTTTGAACTATAAAAAACGAAACGAAATATGATCCGTGTTTTAATCAGATTGTATTACAAAGACTAGTCACTACTACAAGACGAGTCGTCCAGAATTAGTTTGACGTCAGCTTCAGGTCTATCAACATTCTATCACAGAATTTATATACACAGAGCATTAAAACAAGTCGTTGAGGCCGACATTGTCACACGTACTATATGAATCAGGAACTGACTATAACGCCATCACAACCATAATGGAATGGTGGCGACGTGTCGAAAATCGAAGTAAGTCAATCTATGCGCAATTGTCCAAAGGACAACCATGCCAAGTTGAAGAGCGTCGTCCGAAGGAGAAGATTACCACGTATATCTTTGAAAAAACAAAACTCACAAGAAAAACACTTCATGAATTAGACTGTTGTTTACGGCCCGCGCCTGGTCTTTTACTCCGAATAAACGCCATAAACACAAGCCGTGCAGAAGATATGTTCATTTTCAAACGTATAGGTGACGTAATTGTCTAGTTTTTCGTCCCAGGCACATCTACTGGTCACCAAAACAGCAACATCTTTTTTCTGGCCGATAATAACATTTGCCACAATCTTATATCTGTCAAACCCCAGAATTTTGATCTTATCTTTGATTTCATCGCTGATAATTTTGGAAAAATTTGCGCAGAATTTGGGATTATATTTGAAATTCTTCAGACGATCATTCAGCACTTCTATGATGACAGCTTCGGCCTTTTTCGGATCAAATTTACGATGAGGTTCCATTCGGTATGTTGGTTCTTTGGGGATATTTAATCTGGTTCCTCTTCTGTCCTTGAAACGCTGTCCCATTTTCTTGGCGAACCGTTTGGAAGCTAAAAGACCAACCAAGGAAGGTCCTCTGGTAACGGTGCTAACTCTTGGAGCTCCAGCATTACTTGGTCGGCGCGCCGAGGCTTGATCCGGACCACCGGGTGCCAGGGCTTTCATGGCGGTAGAAAAACGCCTACCTTCCAGACTGGCATTGGAATTAACTGATGGTTTCCTTAGATTGTTCATATTGATCGGAAAAACGAACAGCACAAACGATGTAGATTTTGTTAAATGTAAATAAAGAAAGAAAGACTATCGTTCACTTCTTATCGCAACTTCGTCGATCTTATCGAGTTTCTGTTTACGAGTTAATGTTATTTTGCATTAACAGATACAAAAATAAGTCCGTTTCTATTAGATTAAAATCACCAATCTTCTTCAGATTTTTTTGTCGTCTGTGTACAATAACCACGTGATGTTTTATTCCGAATACAATTGGATAGATATTTTTTTTCAATTGAAGAGCACAGTCATAGAATGAATGGATGCTTTTGTTCGATGGCTCTGTGAACCTAGTCAATTCGTGATATTGAATAATACCGTTGTATGATCAATGGGGTGAAAACTGATCTATATATTACTGCATTGTAAATAAATATACGGTCTATTTATTCCGACACAAAGGGGGAAAATTAATTTGTATTGAATGAATCACACTTGTCATGTCCGCGATATATAATGGTAAACTAATACCGTGTATGTTGTTGTACAGTGCAAATGTTTTTAATACCGAAATACAATGAAAACATTTCGATCGATATCAATATTAAAGTAGTTAAATCTCTAACTCAATATCATCCAAAGTCTTCGACATTGAAAACACGAATTATTTCTCAATTTAAATCAACATTGATGTTATGATGTTACCGGGAAAAGATGGGCTTCTGATATCCAATATTTAAGACAAAATAAACATTTTACCATTGGTACACGAATCGTGTACTATAATGCGTTTCAGTGCCATTTGTAACAAGGGACTCGAAGAACGAGGCTAGACATATTCCACAAGTCATGTCAAACGGTGACACTATATTCTTATCTGGAGAGCATGCGCAATAAATACTATCGGTGTCGACTGGAATAACAAGACGCTAGAGATTGCCATTCGATTGAGATTTCTGACGTATATACATTCATATTACAATATTATATGCGTTGCGACCAATTTGTATCAATATCTAGGTCCCAAATATTAGCGATTTAGCTCCTTTAAAGTTTTAAAATATCAAGAAATAACTCGTGTACAATATTTATTAACTCCAGAGAATTGATCAAAGGGTGTTTTATGTCACTTGTGCATGTATATGTCAAATTGAAGTGAAATGAAATGGGCGTTTTACGTGCTACTGTTCACCACTAACAGGCAATGCATTGTGCTATGAGGAGAAATTTCATCGACTTCCAACACGACTAGACGTGTTTTCACCCTGCACACATGAAAATGAAATGAAATGATTTGAAATGGGGTTTAACGTCCTACTGTTCTGCTCCGACTTTTAATGAAGACGGGCATACGCCATATAAACTGTACTATGAGGGAAATTTTGCCCGGAAAGCGGCTCAACGGCCTACTCTTATAGTTATATCGAATTCCAACTGTTAAGAGATCTTTTAGATGCACGTTAATGTGTACAAAGGACCTCGGTTTTTCGTCCCATTCGAACGACTAGACAGGTGTCCCACATGTAAATGTGGAAACCAGGCTGGAAAATCACGTGGAACTTCCTCGGCTAATACCTGTATCGAACCCGAGAGCTACTGGTTAGTGTATAAACATGGATTCCACATAATCCATAATCTCCACTCTACTTAAAATTTTAAATATTTAGATAAAAAATGAAAAGAAAAAAGAAAGAAGGAGAGAGAGAGAGAGAGAGAGTTTAACGTCCACTCGACACAAACTATGTCATTTCGGGACTGACATGTGGTTCAATTTTATTTCAATAATTCGCATGTACAAGCTGGGTATCTAAATCAGCCAATCAACTCCACTAGAACATTTTGGGACTAACACATATTGCAATTTTATTTCAATAATTTGTTTAAGTCTAGCTGTGGGAGCAAACTGGAGAATGCCCTTATTTCTTGTAGCACCCCAGAACAGGGTGCGTTTATTATTGTGAAAAATCGCCTAATAGGAAAGATTCCGATTCCTCCTGGTCGAGATTTTGCATGGGGAACACCAAAAATTGTATAAAGCAATTAGATTTGATTTTATAGATTAACTTTATTGCGAACATATGCAAATATTTGATTCCTTTGACATGAAATATCGGGCTAATATACGTCATGTAGTTTGCTATGACAGAACTTTTGCTCCAACAGCGGCGTTGACGCCTATACTCTTAATCGACATCCAAATGTAACCGGCTCTTTTTTTACGTGCCTCGATTTATCGTTCCATCCGAAAAACTAGACGCTGTTTCTAGGATAAGTTGTTATATCCTTCTGAGGGGGGGGGGGGTAGATGGCTGAATGGTTAGCGTGCGCGCGCTGTATCATAAAGTCTGTCATTGAGTCGACTGGCGTGGTTTCGAATCCCCGGTTGTACGTGGCAAGGAGTAGGGTCGCCTGTCCAACCTCGTGGTTTTTCTCCGGGTCCTCCGGTTTCCTCCCACTGCTAAAGACCCCTACGCGCAAGCGAATTATTGAAATAAAATTAAAACCATATGTTAGTCCCGAAATGACCTAGTTTGTGTCGAGTGGACGTTAAACCCCATTTCTCTCTCTATATATATCCTTCTGTTCGCTGTGACTGGCGGGGTACTTTCTCGGCGAACACCGGGTACGTGAGTAGGTGTTCGAGAAACCCGTGCGTTTTGATAATAAATAAGTGTGACTAGAGTGGCGTGGTTCGATCCCAAATGTAAAAAAGAAGAGTCGCCTGTCAAACCCCATGGGTTTTCTCTGGGTCCTCGCAAGAAAAGGATCTCTGTGCCTTTGATTCGATCGAGGCGATACAATTTCGGGAATCCGCATCTCATATCTCAAAATTGACGATGGATGCGCCGGGTGTTAGAATCCTATAGTGGACAGCGTTAAAATCGAAGTAAGCCGAATATAAACTTCCGGTTATGTATTCTGTCACGTGACCACGCCAGACGTTCATGAAACCGGCTGAAAAGTGATTGGAAATTTATAAACTTGTAAAACTGCATAATAATGGAGGTAACGCATACCACACTTATGTCTAAAACTCTGCATTTATAACAAAGTACTTGTTTGAAAACGTCGAGAGAATACTGTTACAAACATCGCTACAATAAATATAGTAATTGTTCTTACCAGTAGTGGCAGTACTAAAGTATGCCAGCAAGTACAACATGTACATGACGTGTTTATAATACTAAAAGCCTATATGGTTTATTGCTCTATCCACTTACTAAATGCCTCTAAAATATTATTAATAAAGTCAATGAATGGCATAAAAATCAACATGTTGATGGTGGCCATTAAAAGGCAGAAGCAGAAACAGAATTGTACTGCAGTGCACGTGAATAATGGTGAATCTTTAGTTCCTTTTGGAACAATCCTCTCACCAATCCTCCTATGTTCAGCCGCAATATGAAATTAATAATGGCACTCTACCCCCCATATCTGTGCTCTATGGCTTTTTTAAAGTCCTTGCCATGTAATTTTCACTGTAATTCTTCTTAGTTCTTCAAAAAGAATAATCTCTCACCAATATCTGACATAAATTTATTATAATCCAACACTGTTTTCAAGTGAAATTTTTCTAATTCAAAGACATCATCATAATCTGTTTATCTGATATGAAAATAAAATGTATTTTTTTTTTTTTTATGTTTTCAGGTTCAGTTGCGAGTACGTGATGCTAAAAGCAATAAACCTCTGGCAGAAATTAAAGGTGTAAGTATACATAAATAAAGGGAAATTACAGAGAAAAAACCCAACCCTATTGATCACCTTTTTTTTTTATAAAGATGCATGCTGACCATTCTTGATATAATAGTTCAAAAATAGAGAATGAAAAGGAATATATTGAAAATTTCATTCAAATTACTTTATTTTGAGCAAAGTTAAAATATGAGTGTTTGAAGATTTTTTTAAGATGGTATTGATTTTTATTGCTACCAGTGTTAAGATAATAAACAAAGTCTCGATTATCCATTTTTAGATCAGCAATGCAGGCAAATTTAACTCTTACAGGAATGAACATTGTCCCAAATTGGCTGTATCAACTTTTTATGTTATGGTAGTGCATAGGGCTAGGTTTTAACAATTATTTTATGAAAGAGAGAGAGAGAAATGAGGTTTAACGTCCACTCGACACAAACTAGGTCATTTCGGGACTAACATATGGTTCAATTTTATTTCAATAATTCGCTTGCGCATAGGGGTTATTAGCAGTGGGAGGAAAACAGATTATTTTATGAATCACAAAGAATTGATTTATTAAATGTAAGTTCATTTTTTTGTAGTTTAAACCAACAAGTACAATCAGAGATATAAAATTATGGTATCATCAACTTAGTAAGTAATTTCTCTTTCTTTCTCAACAAAACATTTGTATATTTATCCCAGAATCACAAAACAATTTAGACTATAAAATAATTTTCTTGATTGACATTTAGAATTAGAGGTATACCATTCAAAATTTCGTTTTACTTGTCTTTAATACACTAAGATCTGGAAGAGTTGTTATCATTGACGTATTCTGGATGGTGTGAGGGATTAGCCAATAAAATGGACTGTTACGACGAGCTTTAGACGTGTTTTGCACAGAACTGTGGGTAATCCACTAGAAAATCAATGCTGATTGGGTAATAAAATAGGGTCAACTTGCTACAACTTGTCAGATCTTCATGTAGTGTAGGCCATCGAAAATATAAAAAAAAACGAAACGAAATATAGATCTGTATTCTAATCAGATTATATACCATTCACAATAACACAGCTTTATGTATTTACTACTTCTTAGTTAATTACATGCATTCTTAGTTTATTGGGGCATTGGATGGCCAAATTTTTAGCGCGTACGCGCTGTGTCATAAAGCCTGTTATTGAGTCAACTGGCGTGCACACGGTATGGTATATGCCAGTTTTCACTAACCCAGTCGGAGTAGGACGTTAAACCCCATTTCATTTAAATTTCATTCGTCATGAATCAAGAACCTTTAATCAAAGGTGTTGTATGGTGTGCTGTTTTTGATTGCGAACACTACAAATGGACAAACCAGGGCCCCTACTTCAATACCAGAAAACCAAGCTGTCAACGAGATGAAAACCAGGCCCTTCTGGATAGCGAACCACCATCCACACTCACTGAGCAACTGCGTGAGCAAATTTAAATGATTTGTAAACTTATATTGTTTATTTATTACAGATCCTAAATTAGACATCAACAGAATATCTTTTAAAGCAGAACAAAGTATGTAAAATGTTGAAAATATTTACTTGTTTTTTGTTATTTTTAAATATTTACTTGTTTTTTTTATAAAGATATTTACCGGTACTTGATTTTTTATTAGGAAAATGTTTAGTGTGTTGGTTTTTTTTAAAAAAAAAAATATTTACTGTTTTTTTGGGGTTTTTTTTGAAAATATTTATAGTTTTATTTTAAGTCTTTGCAAGCCTGGGGATAAGACACATATCACAGGCTTTGTCTGGCACAAATTAGTACACAACACTCTTTGAATTATGTGGAGTGACATTCTTCTTTAATTAGAGTTTTAAATTTGTACATGCTATTAGATATTTGTAAAATATTTGGTTTCATTCAGGAGGAAAAACTCTTAAAGATGACCAGACTTTATTAAATGCTGGTGTTTCGTTTAATGGTGAACTGTTTTTTAAAGATTTGGGTCCGCAAGTAGGGTGGACTACTGTGAGTATTACTTAAAGTAACGATGTGTTATTTCCAGGCCGTAGTGCCGCTGTCCGGGCAAAATTTCCCGCATAGCACACTGTATGGCGGATGCCATCTTCATTAGCCCAGTTCGGAGCAGAACAGTAGGACATTAAACCCCATTCCATTTCATCATTTCATTTCCATTTATTTGCTAAAATATAGAATTTCTTGTGGCTTAATAAATGGGGGGGGGGGGTGGATGGCTGAATGGTTAGCACGTGCACACTTTATCATAAAAGCCGGTCATTGAGTCAACTGGCGTGGTTTCGAATCCCCGGTTGTACGTGACAAGGAGTAGGGTCACCTGTCCAACCTCGTGGGTTTTCTCCAGGTCCTCCGGTTTCCTCCCACTGCTAAAGACCCCTACGCGCAAGCGAATTACTGAAATAAAATTAACCATATGTTAGTCCCGAAATAACCTAGTTTGTGTCGAGTGGACGTTAAACCCCATCTCTCTCTTTCTCTTATCTAGTATAATTTATGATTGTCATTAACATTTATCAGGGTTGTGTACTTGATACTTGATAAAAAGGGGAGCCATGATGGCTCAGTGAGTAAGACGCTGGCTCACTAGCCTGGAGACTGCGAATTCGCTCCTGGTGTTGACCGGTGATGCAGGACAGAGGGCCTGACGAGGACAGCTGTCTAGTCATTCGGAAGGGACGGAAAACCGAGATCTTGTGTGAACATTTGCGTGCACGTAATATTCCCCTCATCATAGCACATTGTATGGCGTATGTCCTTCTTCATTAGCCCAGTAGGACATTAAATCCCATTTCATTTCACTTAATAAATAGGATTTATAGATTTTTTTCTTTTAACCAGGATAGAATTAATATTATTAATATTAAATTATATGATATGAATATTTATTATTTATAAATTGATTTATTTTAAATGATGTATTATGTATATTTATATTAAATTATATATTATGTATATTTATATTAAATTATATATTATGTATATTTCAGGTATTTTTAACAGAATATGCTGGCCCTCTGGTTGTGTATCTATTATTTTATATCAGACCATCTTGTATATATGGACCTGCTGCTGCCAATCAAGCTTATTCTAGAGTTGTCAAGTGAGTTGTCTTTAATATTCTAGAGTTGTCTTTAATATTCTAGAGTTGTCTATGTCTTTAACATTCTGGAATTGTCTTTGTCTTTAATATTCTAGAGTTGTCTTTGATATACTTGAGTTGTCTTTAATACTCTAAAGTTGTCTTTGATATTTTTGATATTATAGAGTTGTCTTTGATATTCTAGAGTTGTTAAGTGATATCTGATAAATACTTTGCGAGTTACGCCCCTTGATAACATTGAAGAATCTGTTTACATTCACTACACGTTGTTTATATTCATCATACATTGTGTATATTTATTATTAACAGAAAGATGTTTATATTTTAGTATTGCTGCTGGTTGTTGGACATTTCATTATGGTAAACGATTGTTTGAAACTATATTCATTCATAGATTTTCTAATGCCACAATGCCTATAATGAACATATTCAAGGTAGTTGCCTAATTTTATAATAAAATTCATTATCAGTTTAGAAATACATGGGGTGGGGGAGGTGTGGATGGCCGAAAGGTTAGCATGTGCGCGTTGTATCATAAGATCTGTCATTGAGCATGTTCCTGAAGCAACGACCGCGAGTTTTACAACATCTAGTCGTTGCTTCAATACTCAACAATTCCCGAATTTTTGCGCTCATTGTGTTTACACGTGATTAATTAGTATTGTCCAATCAGAGGTCGTGGCACATAACACACTGTAAACAAATATGGTGGCCTCCATAGAAAAAGAAATAAACAAGTTTACAGCCTTTGTTGATCAACCATGATTTCCAGCAACCTTGACATTGATAGAACCTTGAACTTTGCAACTCGATTGTCACATGTAGACATTTTAGATAGAAGCGCGAGACTTGATAATCGTAACCATATTTTTAACGAAGGAATCTGATAGGATCACAAGCTGGGCTTATACCCATCGAATTTAGTGCTAAAATATGCGGGGTATTACGTGAAGGGCTTGATAAGATGTACGTAGTTAAGACGAGATCAAGCCTTCTATTGAAGATGGTCATTGAGTTGACTGGCATGGTTTGGATTTCCCGGTTGTCCAGTTTCCTCCCACTGCTAAAGACCCCTACGCGGAAACGAATTATAGAAATATGAATTGAACCATATGTTAGTCCCAAAATGGCCTAGTTTGTGTCGAGTGGACATTAAACCACTTTTTATTTCTCTTCTGATTAAGACTATAGAATCGACTCTTGAACTGTATTTAATTGATTGTTTTTCAGAATTCTATATATTATTGGGGATTTGCAGCTTTTGTAGCCTACTTCAACAATCATCCTCTTTACACCTTACCTAGTAAGTTGTTTATTATATTTAAATATTATATATATACCCCATCTAGCAAGTTATTTTATTTACCTACTATCCATGGGTTCCAGATCGACCACATACGGCGATCATGACTGCTTGATAAAACAAAAACCCCTTTCAAACATTGGCTATACCCTGCCTAGTCAACTGTTTATTATACCCTCCTAGTCAACTGTTCATACCCTACCTAGTCAACTGTTTATACCCTACCTAGTCAACTGTTTATACGTCTAGTAAGGTGTTAAATTCTGATTCTAAATTATAATTTATATTAATTCTGTGTTTCTGGCAGTCTAAATCATAAAATATATATGAACTCTGAATTAAAATTCTGCATTTCTGACTGTCTAAATTATTATTTATACATGAAGTCTAGATTATACTTTATCTATTAAGTCTGAATTATTATTTACATATTAATTCTCTGTTTCTGAATTATAATGTATATATGAAGTCTAAATTATAATTTATAATATGAAGTCTAAATTATAATTTATAATATGAAGTCTAGATTATACTTTATATATTAAGTCTAAATTATAATTTATATATGAAGTCTAAATTATAATTTATTAAGTCTGAATTATGATTTATATATTAAGTCTGAATTATGATTTATATATTAAGTGTGAATTATGATTTATATATTAATTCTTTCTTTTGACAGAGTTTGGGGATAGACAAATTTATGGTGGTCTAGCTTTATTCGTGGTAAGTCCATTCTTCTTCCTCGTAGATAGTGCACTTTTAAATTTTAATAAATTTAGTTTTTCCCTTTATTGTCGAAATCCATCTGATATTGATAATATCGACGGTAAAACATGTTCAAGAAGGGACGATGTTAATTTTCTGAGCATAAATTGTAAAATTTTTTATTTCAGTTTGCTGAATTGGGTAATTTCTCTGTTCATTTGGCTTTAAGAAATCTGCGACCAGCTGGTAAGTCTATAGAAATCACACATTTTTTTAAAGCTTCAATTTTATTTTAATAATGCAAATAATTATGTCAACATATCCTTTAAAGGGACAATAACACTCTTGTTGGCTTGACAGCTCCAGAAAATAAAAAATAGCCTTATTCTAAGTACTAGATGTGTTAGTGTCCTACCTGTTGTGTAAATTATCCATTAAATCCTATTTTACTTGTCCAGAGGGTACAAGAATATTTTTAAATCCAAGTCACATTTGAAAAGCTTTACGTCAGGCTTTTCAAATCATTTAGTTGAATTTTTCCAATTTTTTAAATTAGGTGTGTTAAGATGAAATTTGTAACATCAATTAATTGGAATATTGTAAAATAGCTCAATTTGTTGACCAGAATAAAGATTGGGACATATTCAATTACAACTAGTGGTAGGGAGCCTTTAAATAAGTATAATACGAACCCGAATGTCAATATTACCTGGAACAGGTAAATTTCAACGTTAGTAATTTCTGCCGTTCTCTGTGAGTAGTCATAAATTTCCGCCAATAAACAATCTATGATGTAACAAAATCTGCGAATTTGCGACACGGAAAGCTTGACATCACACGCTTCAGTCGGTCTCTCATAAATTCTACACGATAAAACATAACTAAATACTATTGTAAATGTTCAGAACAGGATGAATGAATAATGTTTTATTTACACACATTTTTAATCAATTAAGTGTGATTTTAAACTCGTGGTGGTCTTTGTTGCTGTGGTGGTAATTCAGACCACGTGACATCAAAATGAAATATGTTGTCTGAGGTTGGCACCCGAAATGTATCGTTAATGATTGATGTCGAAAATACAATCCACAATACAATTCATGTTGTGTGACACAAGTAACTTTACCGTACTATAATTTATAATTATGGTAAATAAAATGTAAACCGTTACATTTAAAGGGGAATTAGGTACAATAGTAGTTAAAAAATATACTAATGTCCAAAAGAAAGTATACACACACTAAAAATAGGAATAAGTTTTGTTTAGATTAAAAATGTTTAATAAAACAATACTGAGTTGGTCTCTTGCATCCAAACTCAACATTTCTAAGCAAAATAATAAAGCGGAACAAATTGACATTGTACCCAAATACCGTATACAATGGAAAACGTATTCAAATCTAGTAAATATCGCAGGTTGATGATGGTATCTAGAGTTGATTTAGGTCTGGATATGTTAATTAATGTCCAATTAATAATCTAGATAACATTTCAGGGCCCTTATTCACGAAAACTTAAACTAAGATACAATCGAAATTTTAAGAAATACTGCAATTCAATTGGCTGACCAGTAAAATCAATTTGCATATATCCAATGAAGTTGCAGTATTTCTTAAAATTTCGGTTGTAACTTAGTTTAAGTTTTCGTGAATAAGGGCCCAGGCCTAAAGAAAGACCTGCAATAGACAGATTTAGCTCTTGCATAATTCCTGTTTAATTAATTATTGAGTATTCATGATAGATTGTAACTGAACCTCAAATGACTAAAACTGATATTGTAATCAAAATTTGGGGATCACGGTGGCTAAGTGGGTAAGATGCTGGCTTGCTAGCCTGGAGGTCAGGTGTTCGATCCCTGCATTGGCCAAGAAAGTTCAACCAGATTTTCCGGTGTGGTTCCCCCTTGTCAGTGATGCAGGACGGAGGGCCTGACAAGGACAGCTATCTAGTCATTCGGATGAGACGAAAACCGAGGTCCCGTGTACACATTGGCGTGCACATAAAAGATCCCTTGACAGTTGGAATTCGATATAAGAGTAGGCCGTAGTGCCGCTGTCCGGGCAAAATTTTCCTCATAGCATACTGTATGGCGTATGCCCGTCTTCATTAGCCCAGTATAGGAGCAGAACAGTAGGACGTTAAACCCCATTTCATTTCATTTCATTAACCCAGTCTGAGCAGAACAGTATGATGTTAAACCCCATTTCATTTCATTTCATTCATTTCCGCACAAGTTTAAATGTTTCTACACACATGCTTCCCTACCCAGCTGTCAATCGTTTAAATCTATATTTGGTTGTGTTTTTTCAGGTTCTAGAGTAAGAAAGATTCCCTACCCTACTCTCAATCCATTTACATGGTTGTTTAAATTCACCTCCTGTCCTAATTATACTTATGAAGTTATGGCATGGGTCGGGTTCAGTGTCATGACACAAAGTTTGCCAGGTAATTATTATACCATTATTTTTTAAATATATCGTCGGTGGGGAGTCAAAAGGTTGTATCTGGATTTTGCGAAATTGTCCAGGAGAGACAAAAAACACACAGAGGTTAAGAATCAAAATGTCTAATAAAACCGTCAGGTCAAAATGTTGTATGTAAAATGTCGTATTTCTGAGGCTTTTCTTAAATATTTCTGTACAAAGTGTATGTGTAGCCATTAAAACAACATGTAACTATCCGCACGTATCAAGCTCAACATTTAGTGCAGAAATAAAGAGTGAAAGCTAGTTATTTGCAATTTTATACAGCATAGAAGTAGACAACATTATTATCTATACTACCATTGGTCAACTGGCATGGTTTCGATTCTCTAGGTTGTACGTGACAAGGAGTAGGGTCGCCTGTCCAACCTCATGGGTTTTCTCCTGGTCCTCCTGTTTACTCCCACTGCTAAAGACCCCTATGTGCAAGCGAATTATCGAAATAAAAATTGAACCATATGTTAGTCCCGAAATGACCTAGTTTGTGCCTAGTTTGTGTGGAGTGGACGTTAAACCCTCTCTCTCTTTCTCTCTCTCTCTCTCTCTCTATCATCATATACATATTATTGTCATACCACCATTGGTTTATTATTTCAGCTGCCATATTTACTCTCGCAGGATTTTATCAGATGGCCGTCTGGGCGCAAGGTAAACACAGAAACTATCTCGCTGAATTCCGAAACTATCCAAAGATCAGAACTCCAATACTACCATTCTTGTTGTAAATTTAACTTATTATGGTGCCTGATTGCCATTTGCATTTTTCAGACAATATTAAATTTTTCACGGTTTAATCTGATATATACACAAATTAATTATTTAATATTTGAAAACAAAATATCAATGGTAGAAAATCTTATGATTCTGATTCAATCGAAATTAAAACATTTGACTTAACACTCAAGGTGGCGCTGGTCTTTTTTAAATCGTCTGCAGAGAAAGCCAATCTGATTAAAACACAGATTCTATTTCGTTTAGTTTTTTATAGTTCAAAATTTCGTTTTACTTGTCTTCACTACACTAGGATCTGGAAGAGTTGTTATATTATAGGCGTTCTGGTTGAAGTAAGGAATTAGCCAATGAAAAAGTCTTCTACGGCGAGTTCTTGGTGTGCGATGCACGAAACTGTGGGTAATCCACTAAAAATGTTAACTTTGATTGATTAATCAATGTCTGACGTCATAGGATCAAAAGCCGTTCGTACGACCCCTGACCCCTGGTCAGATCTTCATGTAGTGTAGGCCATCGAAAGTATAAAAAAACGAAACGAAATATAGATCTGTATTTCAATCAGATTGCAGAGAAGGCCGAATGTTGACAAATTTTCAATTAGTATATCTTTGCAAACACTGAACGGAATTGAACCATTTTTGGACTGATAATTTTTGGGGAGATTCAACTATCACAATATTGTAGTTTACAAGGGGTTCAAAATTCTCTCAAATGGTAATCAGAGACTTTAATATGATTGTTATATTGTAAAAGACAGCTATAATTATATCCAGGAATTCATGTGTTCTTAAAATCATGTTCGCCAAATTTCACAGTTTTTATATGTATGTTTTCTGATAGTTGACGTATATTAAGGTTGTCAACCATTTAACACTTAGACCACTCTCCTATCTGGGACTCCTTACATTGCCCAAAACCGCCCTGTAACGTACGCAACTAGTAAATGGTCCTATATGGAAAGCTGTTCACATATCTCTGACAGTTTTGGATAGTTGACGTATAGTCAGGTTGTCAACCATTTAGCTCTTCGACAACCCTGTCTGGGACTCCTTAGACTGCCCAAAACCGCCCTGTAACGTACGTGACTAGTAAATGGTCCTATATGTAAAGCAGTTCACATATCTCGGGCGGTTTCTGATAGTGCTAAAGAGTTGACAACGCTAAAGAGTTGACATCCTTAATATATATCAACTAAGTCCACCCTGTCAGGGACTCCTTAGACTACCCAAAACCGCCCAGTAACGTACGCAACTAGTAAATGGTCCTATATAGAAAGCTATTAACATATCTAGGGTGGTTTGAGGTGGTCTAAGGAGTGTTTCAATCTCTCTAGGAATGTACAGATATTATAATATATCAAGGAACTGGGGGTAGTCCATATTTACCAAGAGCTTTAAATGTCACCAGAAAAATTTCATAATTTTTTTTAAATTATGCAAGTAATTATAATGCATGTAATTATGTCAACATATCCTTTCCATAAATATAACAGGAACCCGAATGTCAATATTATCTGCAACAGGTAAATTTCAACCTTAGTAATTTCCGCCGTTCTCCGTGGGTAGTCGTAACTTTCCGTAAATAAACAATCTGTGACATCATTTTAGTCCTTCTGCTCATATTCTAGTCTATATTTGTATGAGCAGTAGGACTAAAATGATGTCACAGATTGTTTATTTACGGAAAGTTACGACTACCCACGGAGAACGGCGGAAATTACTAAGGTTGAAATTTACCTGTTGCAGGAAATATTGACATTCGGATTCGTGTTATACCTACTATGGAAAGGATATGTTGACAAAATTACTTGCATTATTTAAAAAATTTGAAGCCTTTCTGGTGACCTTTAATGTTGTTGTCCCCCGCCTTTCGAAGAAAGCAGGGGACTATTAAAATGGGTTCGTCCGTCTGTCTGTCTGTCCGTCTGTCTGTCCGTCTGTCCGTCCGTCCGTCTGTCTGTCCGTCACACTTTTTGGGACACAATAACTCTCTTCCTAATTGAGCTAGAATGTTCAAACTTGGTGTATGTGTTTATTAGGTCAATGCCTTGATGGAGTTCGAAGATGAGCATTTTCCGCTTAGGGTAAGCAGAGATAAGCAATTTGATTGGTTGATACTTTGGGGCACGATAACTCTCTTCCTAATTGAGCTAGAATGTTCAAACTTGGTGTATGTGTTGATTAGGTCAATGCCTTGTTTTATTTGTTCCCCGCCTTTCGAAGAAAGCAGGGGACTATTAAAATGGGTTCATCTGTCTGTCTGTCTGTCACACTTTTTGGGACACAATAACTCTCCTTCTAATTGACCTAGAATGTTCAAACTTGGTGTAGGTGTTTATTAGGTCAATGCCTTGATGGAGTTCGAAGATGAGCATTTTCGGCTTAGGGTAAGCAGAGATAAGCAATTTGATTGGTTGATGCTTTGGGACACGATAACTTTAGTTCTAATTAAGTGAGAGTGATGAAACTTGGTGTATAGTTTCATAACATCAATACCTTGACTAAGTTCGATGATGAGAATTTTCTGCTTAGGCTAACGAGCAATAAGCATTTTGATTGGTCAAACTCTTCTTCTAATTGAGGTAGAATGTTTAAACTTGATGTAGATGTTCGTCTTGACTGAGTTCAATGATTAACATATTGAGCTAAAGCTAAGCAGAGATAAGCAATTTCCTGCTTTGGGACAAGATAACTTTGATTCTATCTGATAGAGAGTGATGAAACTTAGTGTATAGTTGATAATCAGTTTGATTGCTTGATACTTTGGAAAAAAATAGATGTGCGATTAATTAATATGTGTCATCTATTTATTTGGGGATTTCGGCGGGGGACATCAGCCTCACTGTTGGCTTGTTAAATTTAGATTTATATTTTATACTTTTCTAAATTTGTATAACTTACTTACTTACTGTGCATGTAATAGTTGTTGTTCTTCATATATTAACTGATTAAAACACAGATTCTGTTTGGATCACCCTAATAGGTATTCAAATTTTAGCATTTATCACTGTTCGTATATTTAAATACCGACAACTTCATCGGTTAAACAACAATATTAGTTTGTTTTTCTTTTGTTGTTACATTTTTCTGTTTTAAAGACAAACGTCCAGAAATGAATATTGTTCAAATTTTGCATTTGATATTATTGGTTTTGTTTTTTCTGTATTTTAAATTTTTTTGATTATTTTAGGTTTCATGACAATCTCACAAGCACCTGTATCGTGGAAAATCTCTTTTAAGATGTCACACTGAGCTATAATAGAGAATCGGTTTCAATTGAGTTATTTCCCCTGAATTAGAGAATCGGGTTCAGACCACTTATTTGATAATCTCACTTCATGTTATCGACTTCAAACATTATACTTTGGGTATGCTCAATTGTCAGTCCAGATTATCCTGAATTGACGGGATTGCAATCGAGTTATAATTCTGTCACAGTTCTGTCAGTCCCGGCGACGTGGTGTGAGTAGAATCGTGATGTAATTAAACACAAAAAATATGTTTCGGCGGTCATGGTTGGTTGAGATATTATCTTAAGCATTCGACGCATGTGTTGTTAGGCGAAATCCCTTGTTTCACTCGATTGTCGCTATTTTGGGGATTGAGATAATTCAATTCCGGAACATAAAACGGAGTATCCCCTTAGTCACAGCTTAGTGTTATTGTTAAAAGAGATTTTCCCTGTTAAAGGTACCTGTAGACAATCTTGTTATAAAATAGATATATTTGTATGTTATTATTAAAAGGTCATACAAAAAAAATAATTTTGTTCTCGGGCATTCCCTTTCAAAAATAAGATCCAAGTGCGAGTTTTTTATTTTTGTGTTTTTATTTGGTCAAAGAATCGGAGTGGCTATTTGACTTCACAAGAATATCAATTTTCAAGGTACTACATTTATATCATGTTTATAGGAATGTTTGATTATCCAGTTTAATTTATATGACTGTCCATAACAATTATCAGGGTTACATTACATACCTGATAATTGAGCCTATGGTACAATTATAATTCCTATAGCCTTGGTAAATATAAGCGTGTGGCAATAATGACTTTTGTTTTTTTTTAATAAAAACAATTGGGTTGTTCAGGCCTATTTCAGTGATGCAGAAGAATCGGAGAACGAGGATATTTTTTGTCATGCCCTAATTTTAGTTTTAAAATAAAGGTTGTAGTGATAGTATATTTATATACTATTCAAAAAAAGTAGGGGATATTTGATTTTTAAGTGTTATTAAAGTCACCTAATGAAACTGACGAAGAAACAAATGACAAAATGAAATGAAGTTCACATTCATCGATTTATTCCAAATGATCGTTAGACTAAGTAAGGCACAGACTGACCATTATAAGGGTAAAATGATACCCGGGGTCAAACAGCAAAGTTACCACAGCATCACAACCAAGTCAGTAACGGGTAAATCCTCCTCTGTTTGCCAAACAAGCATTGATCCGACGTGGCATACTCCTAATGAGACGTCTAAGGTCATTTTGGTCCAGATTGTCCCATTCCTGTTGCAACGCAGCAGCAAGTTCTTGGACATTGGCAGGACGTTGTTGACGTTTACGCAACCTCTGTCCAAGCATGTCCCAGACATGCTCGATGGGGGAGAGGTCGGGACTCAGTGCTGGCCAAGGTAATGTGGTAATGTTCTGTTGTTGGAGGTAACCTGTAACGATCCTGGCCCTGTGACATCTTGCGTTGTCATCCTGGAAGATGAAACGGCGGCCATGACGTCGTGCGAACGGCACAACATGGACTGCCAAGATGTTGTCCCGGTAGTACTGGCCTGTAACACGCCCTGCAACAACATGTAAAGCCGTTCTTCCAGCAACAGTGATGCCTCCCCACACCATAACAGAACCACTCCCAAATCGATCATCTCTGATGACGTTAACGTCTTGGAAGCGCTCATTTCGACGACGCCACACCCTCCTACGTCTGTCCAAAAAATCAACAGTGAACTTTGACTCATCTGAAAACATCACATTGCTCCAGCGTCGATTATCCCAGTGTTGACGATCCCTACACCAACGACGTCTTGCCTGAATGTGATGATCTCTCAAATAAGGGATCACGCGAGGACGTCGGGCGCGAAGGTGACCCCTATGCAGTCGATTCCGAATCGTCTGGCCACTCACTCTCACACCAGTGTCTGTTTGAAGACGAGCGCTGATCTGATTTGCTGTGATGACACGATTTCTCAAGGCCAAGGTACGGATAAATCGATCCTGGGCTTGAGTTGTCGCCCTTGGTCGACCTGAGCGTGGTCTGTCCTGTACAGATTGTGTATCACGGTATCTGGACCATAGCCTGCTTATGACAGACTGAGAAACATTCATCGTCCGCGCCACAACCGCCTGTGTTGTGCCGATCTGTAGCATGCCAAGGGCACGTAACCTTTCATTTTGGGTAAGCCGACGCATATCAAAATTTGTTTTCTGGTCACTAAAACAATTAAACTGATGTTTCCACCCTGGAATTCAATGCCACAATGACTGTAACATTCAAAGTCAGAGTCGTGCAAATCTTGGGTTGGACCCCCATGATGATCCCAAGCATCACCTGCATTCCATGCGGTAGCTATTGGTGCGTTTGGGCGTCACATGTAACTGGAAATGTTTCTTCTGTTAGGTTCTATAGTGACTTTTTTCGTAGTCATTTGCATATTTTAGTATTATGCCCCCAAAATCAAATATCCCCTACTTTTTTTGAATAGTATATGATGTGTAGTTGATATTATACCAGTAATAAACAGTATACATATTCTGTTGTTTTTTCCCCTACGCGCCAGAGAATTATTGAAATAAAATTGAACCATATGTTAGTCCTGGAATGACCTAGTTTGTGTTGAGTGGATGTTAAACCCCATTTCTCTCCCTCTCTGGGGGGTTGGATGGCCAAATGGTTAGCATGTGCGTGCTGTATCATAAAGTCTGTCATTGAGTCGACTGGCATGGTTTCGAATCCCCGGTTGTTTGTGGCAAGGAGGGTCGCCTGTCCAACCTCGTGGGTTTTCTCCAGGTTCTCCGGTTTCCTCCCACTGCTAAAGACCCCTACGCGCAAGCGAATTATGTAAATAAAATTAAACCATATGTTAGTCCCGAAATGACCTAGTTTGTGTCAAGTGGACGTTAAACCCCATTTCTCTTCACAATCTCGTGGGTTTTCTCCGGGTCCTCCCACTGCTAAAGACCCCTATGCGCCAGAGAATTATTGAAATAAAGTTGAACCATATGTTAGTCCTGGAATGACCTAGTTTGTGTCAAGTGGATGTTAAACTCCATTTCTCTCCCTCTCTCTGTTTTTTTATTTAAATTTTTTCTATTAAAGATATTTTTCGGGTGGTTATTTCCAATAAAAGTATGGCCAACTTGGTATATATTGAAAGTTTAGACACCCAATCTTACTAGAAAAATACTGGATTACCCGAAAACCACCCATGGGGCAAGCACTGGCCAAAATTGTCAGGGTATCACTAACTGGCAACCTGACAGTTGTCTACCGGCTTATTGTGT